AAAAAAAAAAAAAGAAAAATGTATATGAAAAATCACTATAATGGTTTAGACATAAAACCAAATTTTATTTAGCCCCGAGTGCTATTGATTCTTTAAGATATAAGTCATTGTCATTGACATTGGTAATATTTATTGTTTATCAGCTATTGTTATTCTTTGAGTCTGTACCAGTCATCAGATTCTGTGCATAGCCTTGCACTAGTATTCATTATTTTTGTTTTGTTTTTGTTTTTGGAAATAGGGTCTCACTCTGTTGCCCAGACTAGACTGGAGTGGTGCCATCACTGCTCACTGTGAACTCAAACTCTTAGGTTCCAGGAATCCTCTTGCCTCGGCCTTTTGAGAGCTGAGACTATGGGCACGTACCACCATACCTAAATAATTTTTCTATTTTTTGTAGAGATAGGGTCTTATTCTTACTCAATCTGGTCTTAAACTCCTGACCTTAACTGATCCTCCCCCTTTGGGCTCCCAAAGTGCTAGGATTGCAGTGTGAGCTGACAAGTCTAGACCATACTATTCATTTTCAAATGTATTAGTGAATTTTCTCTCTTTCAACTTAGATTTCATGAAGATGGTCTGATGTAAAGTTCATACATTTAAAATTAGGCAGATCTGGGACCAAATCTTGACTTCACCATTTCCTGTTTCATTAGGCAAGTCACTTTTCTTTTCTCATCATGTGTTTATTTTTTCTGAAAAATAACAAATTAATTTACTTATGGATTCCCTTCCATATGGATAGTGTGCTCTTTTAGGTATTTGAATGACTTAACTTGTATCTTTATAGCAACCTTGCAATATAGATATTATTGTCCTTCTTTTACAAGCATAGAACCTGAACTCAGAAAGATAAGTAACTTGCCTAAGGCCAGAAACTAGTATGCATTGTAGCCAGGCTTTTAAACTGGGTGTCTGCGTGTAAAACTTGTATCCTCACTGATATGAGAGAAAGGGTATTGAGCACAGTGCTGAGCATCTCATTGATAGTCAGTAAATGCACACTTTTTTTTTAGGGCAGTGATACTGATTTTTAATTGTATAGCACTTGACGTTTTTCCCCTTACACAGTAGTAACTTTTAACCAATTGCTTATTGCTTTTCTTCTATTTACTGAACGTTGACTTTCTAGCCAAAGGGAAAGGACAGTCCCAAGCCAGAGTGAATATTAATGCTTCCTTGGTTGAGGATATAATCAACTTGGAAGAAGTTGATGAAGAAATGAAGTCTGTGACGGAAGCACTCAAGGATAATTTCAATAAGACTCTCAACATAAGGACCTCACCAGGTTAGTGACTGAACCAATGTTTTGAGGACAGGTGTAGTAGAAAGAGCATGGTTTTGGCAGAGTTGAGTTTTAGTCCCAGCTTTGTCACTTACTGATGACCAAAGGCAGTTACTTTACTTTTCTGGTCCTCAGTTTCCTTGTTTGATTCTTACCTTATACTTTTGGGGTGGGTATTGAAGTAAATGAGGTTAACATACATAATGCATAGCGCCTGGAAAATAGCTAACATTACATTTATTTATTCATTCACTATTTATCTGCTATGAAATAGGGAGTGTGCTAGTCACATAGTAGTAAATAAAAATAGACACAGTCTTTGCACTCATGGAAATATACTCTCAAAAAAATGGTGGGAGTTTTATTGTGACTGTACTATAAAAACATCTAAGTGTTTGGTCTCACAGTAACTGACATCTTTGGTCTGATTTTTCTAATTTGTTCTATATGGCAGTTCTTATCCCTTACTGAGAACCAAATGGCTGCAGACCTGTCCACCTGAGCCATTACTATACCCCTGAGCTTGACCAGGAAGATTCCATTTGGGTTAATAACTTCCTGAAAGTGCCTTTTCTAAGTGGGAAATGTCAGGACTGTCTAGGAGAACTATTTGCAGATGTGATGGAGAAGTGAGTTGTCAGCTGATGGTGCAAGCAAGCAGGAAAAATCCAATTGCTGTTAAATTGGCCTTTTTGCAAATTGTCATCATCTTAGAGTTAAGCCTGGGACCCCCTCTGAAAGTATCTGTGGGAGCTTGGGCTGCTCCCACTTATATCTTGATTGAGGTAGTTCATAAGGAAACTAGAAATATTTCATGAACTCACCCTTAAGAAAACTGAGTGAAAAATATACAGCTCCATTTGTAAACACGATCAGAAACATAGTTCAAAGATGAGATCCAGTGTGAAACTAGAAGACCATTCCCATCATTTGTCAGCTTTTGGACTGAGGCATTTCTGCCTTTGCTGACAGTAGAGCGTGCCATTCAATCTCTCTCAGCTGTTTATTTTAAAGTTGCTTATTATTTTAGGTATGAAACTGATAAAGTGCTGTGTCTCCCCTGTGCTTTCTGGCCTGTTAACATTCTGCAGCCGAAACCAGAGAGCAGTTTGAGAGGAGCTCAGGGAGAAATGTGATACTCAAAATTAGCCAGCAAGCTCCACTCTTGTTGAACTTAAAAAGATGATGGGCCTGGAAAGAGGTTGGGAGTGTAATTTGTTAAACGTTAACCTCTGAGAAAATGAGGGGCAGGAATGAGGCTGAGGGAGATTCTCGCTGGGGACAGATTGAGGGAAAAGGATTTGATGCATTATGTTGATACGGATTTAGGGAATGGGAACTACCACAGTTCCATACTGAAAAGCCTATGTTGGGACTTCTGTGGCAAAGGATTTTATGGCAAATCAGGAAGGCCGAATTAAGATCCATTTTCAAAAGGCCTCCCGTTGGTATTTCCTCTTTGGTTCTTTCTCTTCAGGATTATGATAGTTTAAAGTTCTCTGTAGAGCTTGGGGCCATGAAGAGACTGGGTAAAACAGGCTAAACTTAGTGTTTTGTGCCAGTTGTTCAATATCATCTTTCATTACTATCTGAGCCAGCAGATAGTACTTGCATCTTCCTACCAGCAGTTTCTGTCTCTAAACATTTGCTGTCTTTTTTTTTGTCTTTTTTTTTTTTGAGACGGAGCCTCAAGCTATCCCCCTGGGTAGAGCACCATGGCATCATGCTCACAGCAACCTCCAACTCCTGGGCTCAAGCGAGTCTCCTGCCTCAGCCTCCCAAGTAGCTGGGACCACAGGCGCCCACCACAA